AATAAGTCCAACGCAGCTTTAAAAATAAGAAAAAGTATATATTTGACAAATAATATTTACTAGATCTATTATTGACACGACTTATAATTTATAACCAAATAATACAGAATACAAAATTAAAAATAACATCTGCTTATTTTTTTAACCAAAATTTTACAGAATAGACCCCTTAGTATAATATTTATCAATCGTTATGGAAGCGTTATGAGAAGAAGTTAAGTTTAGGAAGTTATGGCCCGGTCCATTTACGATAACTTCCTTTTTCGACTCACTTGGGCTTCAGAAAAAGATCAACAAATATACTGTTGAAAATTGTGAATTAAGTAAATCGAAAAATCGCAAATCGAAATCCGAGAAGTCCAAAATATTTGAAAAGTGGTTGAATAATTTGAAAATCACAAACAAATCTCAAAAATCCCCCTACGAATTATTAAGAACATCCTCGAACTTCAAAGGTGAAAACAAATACTTGGAGATTTGAAAAAAGCCTGCAGTTGCGAGATTAAAAACCCAGACATCCTTGTTCTCCAATAATTTAATGATTTTGCTTGCTGTAATTTTTTTTTTCTGCAATTTCAGGCGTTTTAAAGGTAGATACATTATCAGATTCTTGTTCGTGAGATTTTTCTTTTATAGGGGTACCTTCACGAATATAGCTACTGAAACTTTCATCGTCCGAAGCAGAATCTCGTACAGAATAATCACTTGGAGAGTTGGAGTCTGAAAAATTGCTCACTTTTCTAATTTACTTGGACCAGCATTATACGTAGAACAGTTTTTGCTTCACCTTAGATGCAACATCTAGCTTTCTTTCGTGACTTCTTTTAATGATAATAGTTTTTGTTTGTCATTTTGTATTTCTATCACTTCATTTTTTTATTTAAAGATCTTTTTATTGTAAGCTCTGAAGGCGTAAACACACTGGTATTACGTTTGGGTCGAACGGATAAACGGTCCACCAAAATCTAGCTGAAACGTTAAAAGGTGTTGCTGCCCGTGGCCATACTTTGCTAAAAATTGTTCCGAAGTTTAACTTATTTCGGTGGTTAGGTTTATTTGTCCAGAAGAGTAACATCTCGTCCATCTCAATAACTTTCAAACGGCCCAAACAGACTAATCCATTGGTTGCAACTGATGGTTGGTATTACTAGGAAGGCAATTCAGAGTTATAGCATGTTTGTGTGCCTCTTCAACTGTTGAGAAGTCAAATATAAGAAAAAACTTCTTATTTGGCTTAAATTGAGCAAAGTATTTAATCCAAGTCACAAAAGTTGAGTGTTCCTTTGTCGGTCATTTTAATGAGAGCTCCCGATGGAAGGTTCTCGGGCCATTTCTGTTTTTCCTGTTTCCTTTCTTTAAAATCATTGGAGTTATTACTTGTCCAATTGCATTACCACATATTGGATAATATTTTACGCATGTTCTTCTGCAATATTATAGACATTTGAAGAGCCACGTTTTGCAAGCACTTCTGGTTGCTTATGCAATGTTAGTCGGCAACCCTTTTTATCGATATTACGATTTATTTATAATATTTATTTCCTCGAAAATATGGCGTTTTTCAAAACGATCATTTACGATAAACCTATTTAGTTTTGCTGCCCTTGTAGCATTCATTTGCTGTGCTTATCACATCCTTCCTGCAGTTGTTTACCATTAGAAAATGGGTTGGGCATTTCAAGCCGCTAGCAGTAGTCAAATTCTTATCTTTTAGGGGCTTTGAAGTTAACGCCATTCCAATGTCATATAATCTAAATATTCGTTTACAAAGATCAGTGTCCTTAGGAGCTATTGGGCGGCCCAATATTTTTTCACTTACACCAGATGTTTCATGATTTCGCAAAGTTCTTCTAGGTATCCTATAGTTTACGCTATAATTTCTGAAAGATGATCCTCCTCTCACTGCGTCCATTGCACGTCACAGACGTTTTAGCTAAAATAACAAATCAGGCAAGAAATGCAGAACATAACACCCGCTATAATACAAAATGTTGCCCGGTTAACTCATTGTATAGCGGTCAATTTGAAGGTTTATTGTACATTTTCTTTTGTTTTGGTAGTGTATCACTGTAATTGCATGTACGTAAATTCATTAAATTTGTTTATTACGTCCATTGTTTATTTCTTATTTGGAATTTTGGTATTTTTGCCCACCCTGTATCAATTTGAAGAAAACAATGATACATTTTTACAATTACCTCAGCATAGAAAATCTGGAAATTGAAAAAATAGCGTCTTCCATTTAAAATAATATTTTTTTTCTCATAGGCACATTGCCATTCAGCCAGACACAGAGTCGTCTATAATTAGAACTACCCAAGAATATTTCCTAACAACAAGAGGTGTAAGAAGAAGAAAAACAATAAACAATATAGGACAGGGACACTCGCTTCTCGTCCAGGGACCCATCAGGACGTTTTTTTTTTAAAAGATAAACAAAATTAGGCCTCGGTAAGAGGGTAAACAAATAGATATAATACAGAGGAAACAACATTAAGATTCCAATCATAATGATTGGAATAATTGATAATATCATCAGAAAAACGTGTTAAAGCTGTTTCAATATTTAAGGGGGATGGAATGTTATTTTTTATTACATTCATATAAAGCCTGTTTGAATGTACTGCGTATTTCTTGCATTCGAAGAAAACGTGATTAAGGTCACCAGTTGTTTCACGAAAGTCACAATTTTCATCTTCTTTTAGATTAATTTGGGATAACTGGCATGACCAAATCTGATTCTAATTAAATATGTAATGTAGTGTCTTGGAATTAAATAATGTTTAAACCAGGGTGAGTTTGGAATGTCTTTGAATTTTAGTGTACTGATTCGAATAAGTGGAAAAGAATTGTGACCAATCGTGCCTCCATTTTCTCATATTGTTAGATTTTATCAAGGCAACAATATCTGGGCTACAGATGTTATAAATGGTGTTAGTTTCTTTTTTATTGCAGATTTTGATAGCATATCAACATATTCATTATGTTTTAGTCCAATATGAGCTTTTACCCATATAAATCATATCTTTACGTTATTATTAATTAGTTGGAACAATGCCTTTTTGATCAAGAAAATGTATGGATTTGAATTAAAATTTGGAATATTGGAGTTACAGTTGATTTTAAAACAGATAAAGAATCTGAAGCAATTAGAGCTGCTTTAGTGTTAGATTCTGTTAAAAATGTTAAGGCTTCTAGTATCGCAATCGCTTCTGCAATATAACTAGAAAAGTTATCAGGTAGTTTGTAAAGAGCTTTAATATGAAGAGACAGGACGTAGTAGGCGCAACCAGTGCCTAGGTATGACTTGGGTGCATCGGTGTATATAACAGTATGTTCAGGAAAGCTATTTAGGTTACAAAGGAGTAGATTTGAACAATTATGAGGATTTTCATCATAATTGGGTTGTCTTAGTAAGAGTTTAGTAAAGAAACAAGGAAAATCGGATGTAATAAAGAATTGTTTGAAAGAACCTAGGGAGTCGAACGCTATCTCACAATTTTTAACAGCTTTACATAACGGCTGTGAGATTTTATGAATCCAGTATTTATTTGTTAGATCATTTGTATTAAGTTGAATAATTTCAGAAAATAAGGTTGAGTTATTTAAGAAAGAGAAATTTTTGACTTAGGTATTCTATTCTATATTTAATGGGTAACTGGCTTTACAGCTTCGATATAAAGGAATTCAGTTTTAGTAGATTTCGTAGCACCAAGGCATGTTCGTAGGACAGAATTTTGGAAAACTTCTAAGTTTTTCAGTAAAGAATTGTTGGCCGATCCATACAATATACACCCATAGTCCAGTATAGATCGAATGTAGGATCTATAAAATAGTAAACCTGTATTAACATCGGCACCTAACCAAACTTTCAAGATATATTTTAGAAAATTTAGACCCGTTTGAAACCTGTTCAACGCATATTCAATGTGAGGTTTCAACGTGAGCTTCTTATTGAAGATATTTAGCGTGTGTTTGTAAAGGAAATTCTTGTTGTTTTAAATTAATTGTATTATTGTTATTGGAGTGTTGTGTCGGGTGAAAATACATACAACAGAGTCTTGTTGGTAGACATTTCAAAACCAAAAAATAATACTGATGACGTCAACACATGAAGGTAGTTTGGGAATGTTTAATAGTTTGTTAATTTAGTTAATAACAAATTTATAAACAACTTTTGTGAGATACATTTTTGGGATACCTTAGCAACGGTAATACAAAAATTGGGGAAATATAACAAATGGTGATGACGTCATTACACAAAAGTATTTCACCCTGTATATTAGATTATTTTATAAAACAGTAAAAGAGAATAAAAAATCGGGAATTTTTGATGGTACTGTTTATTTAGCTAATAATGAATTCATGTATTACTTTATGGACTGTATTCTAGAATCTCTAAGAAAATTGGAAACAGGGATACGATTTATAGCAAAAGAAGGTGCTTTGTTAAATTCAGACCTAAAGGATTGGGATTGCGTAAACGGATTAATAGATTGCAAAGTCCACTTTAGGTATAAAGCAATTATAAGATATATCGATTTTAGATATTTGTTGGTTTTGGAAATGTCTTCAAATTTTCCAATATAGAAAAGAAGGCAAAGAAACAGAAGAATATTAATATTAATAGGAGTAGGTACAAGTTAAGTTCACTATGTATATAAGGCTATAAATCCAACTTAAACTAATATTAAATTACCATAACTCTCCATACGTCCCGGTTAGAATATGATAAGATGTTGAGAAGGTTAAGAAATATGAAATTTGATTTCCTTATCAAATAAGAAGAACCATTGCGGTCTTTGGTCTTAGAGATAACTGAAGTAAAAATGTTTCATATACTTTTTGCTACTCCGTAATACAATATTTGGAGCAAGAAGACCTTATCACAAGTACTGGCAACAACAAAATAAGCAAAGAAAATTAGGTAATACTTTTTTTATCCAAACTAATTTTAAAGATATTTAAAATAAATTAGTAGGTAACGTAATATTACTTACGAAGTTGGATGTTCCACTGTAAACCCATGTCCATGTCCTCCTCCACCTTTTCCATCACCTGATAAAGATCCTTTTTTCTTAGATTCTGAGGGTTTCAAGATTAAATCTGTAGACTGGAACATGATTCCGTCATTGCTAGAAATAAAATATAATTGAAAGTTAATTTTAAATTCACCAATAACTAATAGCTTTAATCCATCAAATATTGCAAAAAAATAATATTTTGATTGATAGATAAAAACAGTGATTTTAAATTGGCTTTGAAATTATAATAAAAAGTGATTAATAATTGTTGTTGGTTCCTATTTTGTCGTGATTATTTAAATATATTTTTTAAATTGTTAAATTTTTATTCTTTATTTTACTTTGTAATTTATAATGTTATAACAGTCAGCTTTTCAGAAATTTCTACACGAAAACTACTGCCTGTTATTTGTTATATACTTTAATGTGAACAACTATTTAAAATAAAATTAGAAGATCAATTTTTAATTTAATTATAACATATTATGATATGAATTACATTTAATCAAACAAATTTTTTTATAAACAAATCTTAGTTTAAATAATGAAACTCAAGACCTATAGCGCAACATACAACGTAGTCAGAGGAAAATGTATCAATGCCACTATTTAAAATGATAATAACAATAATAATTTGGACAACATTTATGATTAAACGGAAACCTCTTTCTATCATATCCTCAATCATTTACCTCATCTCCGTCACTTTAAACAATACAATATAAATAGGGATAGTACTAAGTATAAGACATCATAGAAATGGTAACTTTATGATAAATTCAGCAATATGATTATTGGCCACATACTTCGATTTTTTCTTACTACACGGGAATGGTCGCACTGCGCAGCTTTCTGAGTGCCTTTTAAAAGGAGAAACTTATTACGTGTTGTCTACATCTTGGCGCAATAATTTTAGTAATTATGTTATAATATTTACCCAAAGATATTATTTACGAACCTACACTTTACAAAACTATTAACAAATAATGAATATCTTGAAAATCTTGCTTTACTTGGTGATTTTATGTTAAATCTTTTCATTTGTAAGTAAAACAGTAACATCTTAATTTATGTTCCTATTGTTTTTATTTATTTCAGGTTTACTACCTGTGGCTCATCTACAAACCTGAAAGTAGAGGTAGTCCTCAGCTGAGAGAATAGCCCTTTCTGCTAAATGGTATATATGGAATAGTTAGAAAATGATCTGTTATATTTAATTTTTTTATTTGGTACAGTAAACCTTGTAACAATTTCAGATAAATAGAAAATATCTGAAAAGCCAATGTACCTACCACTAAACCAGGTACATTGATTTTGTACGTTAGACATACACAGGAATCATAAAAGTAACACAGTATGTCGACATCTTTTTTACAATATTGAGTCGACGGACTAAAAAAACCATAGCTAGACCATAGGGGTATTTTCTTGAATGAAAAAAATTTATCAATTTCTTCCTATGTAACAACTGAAAGAAGACTCATTTGTAGATGAACAATACATCTGTTATAGTTAAAAATTTAACAACTACATAATGCTAACTTAAATTAACTGTTATACAAATTTAACGTGTATGTCTCAGATAAATTATAAGATAAAAACACAAACCAGCTATATTTTGCATCAGTTATAAACAACCTGACTCAACCATTCAGCATTCGTTATTAACGGCATTAAAAACCGATTTGCTAATTAATTTGCTAATTAATTAAAAATTAGTATCATCATCACCACAATCAGATACATGTACCAAGCTACTAAATTTGGTGTAATAGAAATAGGTCAGCAATTTATTTACCATGCGAGTGTGAAATAATGGTATATAATTGGAGTTAATCAAATGATAAGTGAAATTATTTGAAGGTATGTACATTTTTGTTTGATTATTTATGACCCGTGACCTAGATTTAATTAAAAAACTAGAAATTTGTGATTTATCTGTGACTGTTTCATTTAACTATTATACAAATATTTTTTTAAATGAAGAGTATGCATTTTATTTTATCAAGTATTTTTTTATTTAATACAGGACTAGATGATAAAGGTGTATTTATTAATAGATATAACAAATAGTGCTTAAACAAAAACTGTATTGTTTGTTACAAGTGAATTTAAAGCCTAAAGTTTTATTTTGGTTATAAAAATATTTATGATCTTTTTTTAGAATCAAACATCAAGTACCGGAACAACTTTTTAATTGAGCCAAATTGTGATCTTCAAGAAATATTTGAACAAGAACAACCATCATTATATTATGTTTTTGGTACATAGTTTTGTAATGTTCAAATAAGTTGTAAACTGAGAAGATTAAGAAATAATGAAATAATCTAGCTATTCTTCATCTTCTTAGGTATCAATGTTGAATATTCATAAAATAAAGATATTTTACTATTACTTTACCAAAATATCATAATGTTTTTTAATGAAACCCTACTCAATCCTAAGTACATTTTTCAAAATACTAATCTTGACTCTCAATAGTCAGGCAGTTTTGGAAGACATAATTGATTTATTTGAAAATAAACAAAATTCAAATCTAATTTCACATTCCTAGGTACAGAATCATAATCTGCATATATTAATAGAAATCATCTGTCTTTTTTCTAACTATTGTTTAATCAAGAGTATATTCCTCTGGTAATATCTTTTAGAGCTTCTTTAATCTTACATTTCTTTGTTTTTATTTTATAGTTTCGTACCATATTTACAGCTGAAAAAATGCAAAATATAATATTAGATTGTTTAGCCTCAAAGATTTTTATTACACTACAAAAATAAAATAAATGTTCATGGGACTGGCGAAAAATATCATAATATTAAGGTAATATCATAATATTAAGGCAAAATCATATACACAGCTTTAAAAATAATTTAAAACCACTCACCTCTATTTCAATATGCACTCGTAATTATAACATTACTTCAAAGAAGTTTCATGTATATTAATTAAAATAAATAAACGTTCCTTCTTCATTTGTTGCCTTCATTTAAAACATCAAGATGTAGGCTACCAGTTTAACATTTTGGAAAAATATGTGTTACCTAACCTAGTAGTAAAGATATCAAAATGGCCGCGTCCTATATTGGGCGTGTCGGACGTCTCTCTTGCACCGTATAGTAATCAAAGTATGTGATTATTGGCACTATTTTTGGGTTAAGTGTGCCCTCTAGAGGGATAAACAATAAGCAGTTAGCATTCAAATGAAATTTCACATTTTACAATACGTCACAGTTTTTTAATCCGATAAAGGGCGCTAAGATCAAAAGCAACGCAATGAATTGTCATTGCTGAATTTTTCATAAAATTACTTTTTAACCAACTTCAAAAAAGAAGAAGGTTCTCAATTCGTCGGCTTATTTTTTTACGTAAGTTCAGCGATAATTCTTTACTACGTTGTCCAATTTCTATAATTCTATAATTTTTGATTGAAACGGGGTGCATGTTCGTATCAAGCGTGCAGTATTGCAGGCTGGTCTTTTCCGAGTACCGCCGAATGCATCGACGTATCCAGAGCGCGAGAACGCATTATGCTAGATGTATCCAACGTTCGAAAGTGCAATTATTAATTTTTGGCATTTGTCATGGTCTTATCTATCGAAGATGACCCTGATAATTTTATTCCGACGGTGGATTTTTGTATAAATTCGTATAATAAATACGTTAAGTCAGAGTCAACGTTAATGTCAGCGTTACAAAATGCTTTCAAACCACGTACAAGGATCAATTCGACAAAAAAATATGCCGAAAAGGAAAAAAGATATCGGTTCGACCAACATCAGTTTCAAGAAGAAAGGTTCATGCATGTGGACGTAGAAAAGCGCAAAGTGGACGAAAAGTTTCTTCTTTAGTTAAAAAGAAGGCGAAAGCACCCCACAATTTACTCCTGTGCTTGGAGAAAAATATACCTTTAGGAGAAGATAAGTTTTTAAAATAAGCAAATTGTGTATTTTCCGAAAAAAACATTAAAATTACTTTGTTTATACTTTAAGGCGAATGTGTTTTCGATTATATGCCACATAAATTTAAAACTATTACTTATCTTGTCAATATGTTGCGATATCGAACGCTGAGTACCACGCGAAAAGCCTGAACAATGCGTTGCCGCGCGCTGTATACCTGAACGAATTCGAGGGAACTCGGAAAAGGTGAGCCTGCAAAGATTCTTTGACTGGACGCTTGATACGAATATGCAAACGGGGTACCTCAGGGGTGGTCCCATATAAATTTGGTTAAAATCTGAGAATGGATTCCATGAGAAAATCATCGAACTCTTAATTTTTTATGTATTTTCGGCGATAATTCTTTACCACGTTGTCCGATTTCTACGATTCTTTTTTTGTTAGAAAGGGGTACTACAAGGGTGGAGAAGAAAATTCTTTAGATAAAAGTTACTTCTAATATTATTTTCTATAATTTTTGTTCTATACAAAATTTTTCTAAAATGGTCCGTATTCGAGAAATTTTTCAAAATATAAAAAATTCTAACTTTTAAGAAAATTGTTGAACTAAAAGATGCTTGCGATATCGATCTCTATAATTTTTGTTTTTCACATGATTTCTCTAAAATGGACCGTAATGGAAAAATTGGAGGAAAAGTAACAAATTTAAATTTTTTAGCATTTTCGTTGGCAATGAGTGTATACAGAAAAATGTTTCGAGTCAGATGTATGTAGAAAATATCTATATTAAGTGAACCTCTAAATATTTACAGAGATGCTACAATAGGTTGTACAAAATAACCGAAAAAAGCCTGCAATAACTAGATCGGAAAGTCATGTGTTGGATACGTCAGATTTTCTTATTTTAAATTTTTTGTGAGGCTGACTAAGACATAAGGTTTGAAATTGTTACCCCATTTATTATAATTAAATTAATAATAAAAAATGAAGGTATGTATATCACTACAAAATCTATCAATCAGAATACTTTTTAAAATTATTGTACTAGCTAAGAAAGGGTTATACAAAGTGCAACATTAAATTTAACAAGTTTATGGGGTCAACAATAAGTCGATTTGAGTTTACTTGTTTATTTAAAATGGATAGTAAGAAAGTTACAAGGTGTTGAAATATAAATATTAGAAGTGGTTTTTTGTTATTGACGTTTAAAA